AATATTCCATGGGTATAGTGATAAATGAGGTCTAAATTATAAGAAAATGCGTTTTCCAGGAAAACTTGAAGAGATAGGTAAAAAATTGTATAATACAATTTGATAGACAATTAAATTCTGAATCTAATTCATGTAAAATATACAGAGTGTTCCATTTAAATTAAACAAGTTATTGCCGTTTAAAGCTAGTGTTTTTTTAATATAAATTTTTGGACACTCTGTATAAGAGATAATTATAAGGTATAATTTTTATTATTGCAACACAATATCTGATCAATAAATAATCTTCAGTAAATATTTAGTATTAAAAACTTTGATACTCTTGGAGAAATGAAGCCTTAAATTTTTTACTGCAATTTCAGAAAATTGAAAATATTTTAAAAACGGTAAGGTTTAAGTGTGATAAATCTTAATCACATTTACCTTTATTTCAATCGTATATTCTAAAAATAGAAGAATATACAGGGTGTTCTATTTAAAAAAATACAACAATAATATTTTTTACTTATTTGGGACACTCTGTATCTTGTAAAAATATTTTTAAATTGTAACTCTAGACCCAAAACTTACAATTTGTAAAATTCTTATCGTTTAGCTACAATACTCCGTGTCGTATGTGGTGAACAACTCTGTATAGGAACTATCGAAAACAGGAAATAGCCATCTTATCCGATAGTCAAGCAGAACTAAAAGCGATCAACTCAGTAAGACCAACTCGAAGTTGGTCAAATGGTCAAAATGCCTAGAGAAGCTGGGATAGAAGGCAATGAAAAAGCAAGTAATCTAGCTGGAAAAAGAGCAAACAGTCCATTAACTGGACCAGAACCCTTTTACTTTCCAAGTGGAAACCAACTTAAAGCGGAACATAGAAATCTGGCAGACTCCATCAATAACCTGGAATTGGAATCCTCCAACGGTCTAAAACACTTGAAGCCATTTTTTAGGACTTAGGACCAAGAAAAACAACGGCGAAAATGGGGAAACACCAGAACACCTCATCACTGAGTGCGCCGAGACGACAACCATTTGACCTATAAACTTTGGTACGACTTCTATCAGTGATGAAGAACTAACCTAAGTTTGTTAGAATTTACGACCGAGAAAAATCAAAGATTTCCGTTGATTTGTAAGAACAATCTTCGGATTGTCACGGGGTTTCTAACAGGACACTATCCCCTCGACGAACATCTCAGTGGATCGAAGCTGAGAAACAACGACGAATACAAATTCTGTGGGGACCATGGGGAATCACCAAACATCTTATCACTGAGTGCGCTGAGATGTCAACCGTTCATGCTATAAATTTTAGTATGGCTGATGTGGGAGATGGAGAGCTAGCCTCTGTGGAGCCGTCTCAGATACTCGTTTTTGTCACAGCCCTAAGAGCGTATGATGAGTTATAACTCAAGAAAGGGGAACACACAGTAGATCTGTAAGGTCGCGGTGATTAACCCCCTCCCCGACCTTCTACATTCTACCTAGGACCGATATCTACATCAATGTAAATCCTTAACATAACAAACCGATTTGTTGGCACTTAGAACATTATTTACTTACAGTCTTCATATGTACCGGCAAAGGTACCGGCAAGCAATCGAACACGGGATATCGCGCATGGCGGGCGGGAAATTTATTACTACTATTACATAGAGACTTGCTTTGTAACTTAAACGTTTATAACAACAAATAAAAAAAAAATAGCTACTTTGCTATTCGAGGTGGAGACGACAAACCCGAGATCATTAAAATTAGTCAAGTCGTTCCTGAGTTCTTGGTCGTACTCACACGATTTTGTTTTATGTATACAGGGTGAGTCTTAAATAAGTGCAAATATTTTAGGGCTATTAGATCTAAATAAAAAAAAATATATTTTATCTTTACCGTTTTTCAAATAAGTCCAAAATAACCGAGTTATTTAACTTTGAAATTTAAAAAAAATATATTTTTTGCTAAATTTTGAGAACCTCTCAGTTCTCTAGGTTTTCTTTTTGTAAGTTTAAGTACCTAATCTATTACCTATGTTGCCATATTATCAAGAAATTATATTTTTTAACTAAAAACTAAAAAATAGGTACTCCAAAACATTTTTTTCAAAATATTCTAAATTTTCATTTTTTTTTGCGAAACAAACCTCATAGACGTGTTTCTAGGGTCGAAATATACTACCCTTAAAAATGTTTGCACTTATTTAAGACTCGCACTGTATATATAGAAAATGTCTATACCTATATGCGGCGGATTCATCTCTCCAAAAAAATCCTATATGGGTATTTCGACACTGCAATAAAATCTACAAAATAAAACAGTTATTTTTTGTAAATACTGCTGCGTTAATCCAAACGGAAACTACTTGTCAGCAGTTAAGTTTACAGATATACAAATTTGCCTAACCAACAAAAAAATGCTTAATGTTTCGGAAAGTTTATCTCTTTCCGTCGTCGGAAACAAAAAAAAAAATACAAAAAATAAAGAAAAAATAACTATTTAAAATATTTAAATTCAACTATTCGAGATCACTTTAGTTTTTTAAAATAGGGGTAATAAGTCTAGGGGTCGTCATTTTCTTGACAACTTCTTGATCTTGTCTTGATTTCAAGACAAGATCAAGACAAGAAATGATTTTTGGTTTTCAAGACAAGACAAGAAAGTACTTCTCAAGATCAAGATTTCTTGACAAGAAATCATGAAAATCTTGAAATTTCTTGAAAATATAAAATAAATAAGAAATACTCATTTACTTAGGTACTTATTTGTATATTATATGAATATCCATTAATAATTGATGGATAAAAAAATTATTAGGCAAAAATACTTGTACGAAGCGGCACTTTGTCGGATGTCCAATGTCCAAAGTTGACATAAGTACGTCCAAAGTCGGATGTCCAAAGATGGCATACTGTGGGAAAAATTAAATTGGAACCTTTTTTAATGCCTAATAATTTATTTTTATTTTTAAATGTTTTTTTTTATAATTTTTTGGATATGTTATGGCCTACGATATTAGAATAAAAAAAACTTTGCAAAGCGGGTCTACTTCAGTGGCATACAGACATTTTGAATTAACGTAAAACTTTTAAAATAAAAAAAATCATTTTAATGTACGCCACTGAAGTAGACCCGTTTTAGAAAGTTCTCTTTAGTCTTTAAATCAACATCTTAGGCTATAACATATCACATAATACTATTTTCTTTAGATATTTAAAAAAACTGCAATAAGTATACATTTATTGTTTTATAAGAAAAAAATACATATTGGAGAAACAAAAAACAAACACAAACAGTTGCTGGAAATTAAAAGTCATGATAATAATAATTATGGCATTTAAGGCTACCAACTAAATCCTAATATATTAAACAAATCTTCCATGAAAATAAATATCCAAGTACAAAAATATTTGTTTTGCAAAAAAATAATAAAAATTCATATCAAAATAGCAAACACATTAAACACGATAACAAGAACAGCTTCTAAAAAATAATTTTTATTTACGGTTGGTAAAAATGCTGCTTAAAAAGCTTAAACTAGTGTTTGAGAGCCATGAATTAAGGCACATGAGACTGCGTCCGTACTGATTAAAACGCACCTACTCCGTAAAATTAGATGCCTGACCCTCGATTTTACGCATAAAGCATAAACATCACATTAACCAATCTCACCGCGACTTTTAAACAGGGGGTTCCCCTTTAATAAACGAATTTTAAACGGGGGTTCCCCTTTTGTCAAATATCAAGAAATTTCAAGATTTCTTGAATCAAGACAAGAAATCAACTCTCAAGAAATGGTCAAGACAAGATATTTTTAATTCTTGAAAATATTTCAAGACAAGACAAGAAATTGCTTGTCAAGACAAGATTTCTTGTCTTGCCGATCCCTAGATACGTCTACAAAAACCGTTGACGTTCTGTTAAAATGACATTATATCAAGTTAAACTTCAAAATTAACAATTACTACCTGATAACAATTACTTAATAAGGTAAAACCAAAAAGCCCAAAGCTGCATGATTAATTTCAATTTGTACGTATGTTATGTTTATTTATGTTCTGTTCTTTAAAATCCAAGAAGCGCTTGCCATACATTACTAGCATCTACAGATGCATGAGCAATACATTTATTTTCAGATTGTATTAAGAAAGCCTCTTCTATTTTTCTTTTAGATGCTACCGCTTCTTTCATTCTAATTTTGGCGTTATTAAAATTTATTCTGTGTCCTGTGTCCCATGAATGCTGACAAATCTTTTATTTGTGAAAATCTCCCTTTCTTAAATAATCTATATGTACTTTAGTTCGAACATTTAAGGGTCTAGATTTTTCACCAATGTAAAATTTATCGCATTCACATGGAATTTTTTATATTAAATTTTTTGTTTGTTGTTCTGTATTCATTGGTTTAGTGTGTGAAAAAATGATAAAAGATAAAAAAAAGATAAAAAAATAAAGGGTATAAACGGTAGTATTATGATCCACTGGTAAGTACCACATTAGTGCGCTCCCGTTTCTACGATTTTCATTCACTCTCCATGAAAATCTTGAAAAGAAACAACATCCTGTTCTGAGACTTTTTACTGACTGTAAATCCTGTTGTTAAACCTTGGTTTGATTTAATACTATATCTTTGAGTCACGGTATAAGGATTTTTAATAGTATTTGTTAGTCGGTGTTTATATAACTTTCTTTCAACATCTCTCAAAGCCTCACTAGCGGTGTGACAGCCTTACTTTCTTCAAATCAACAAATAGATGATCTTTCTGTCCTAAAATTTGAATGAAATTAAAGAGAAGGTCGATTGTGGATCTTCCTGCTCAAAAACCTGCTTGGTTTTTAGTCTAATTTAACTAACAATTAACTACTTATTTATCTACTATTCTTCATTCATTATGCATTGCCATTAAAATTAATTCATTGGTGTCGCATAAATTAACCGAAATACAATTTTTTTCAAAAGGTTTGGGTTTTTAATAAACATAAACTTTTAATAATTACTGTCACATAATTTTCAGGTGGTACATCCCAAACGTCTCTTTAAGTTTATACAAGGTAAGATTATTTGAGCTATTGTTATACTAAAAACCATCATCTTTATTCTTCTGCAAAAATAGCATAATAATAACATCTATTTGAACTATTGAAATATTTTTTCATTTTATATATTGGGCTAGCCGAAAAAAACTTTATTTACTATTGATATTGATAGTTGCGCTTCGGTAGTACCACAGTTTAATCGCAGATTAGGTATACTATATGTATACAGATAAAAATCTTATCCCTAATTCGTGGTACGAAAATTGTTTTTTATGACGATGTGCAAACGACTAAAATTTCTTGTGCGCAAAAATAAACTCGCGTAAAATAACAATAAACAGCATAATAGAGAGATATCGCTAAACCGAATAGCGTTCATGGACGTTAATAAGGCCAGGTGTTATTTCCTTTACGTGAGGTGGTATTAACTCTCTTCATTTATAGTTATCGGAACGGAAAGAATTCTGTTCGCGTCGCGTCCGCTATTTAAACTTAACCTAACTTTGAATTTAAAACTTTGAATTGTTTTGTCTACTAGGTATTTTAAAACTAAAGCGAACGAGCAAAAAAGGGCTAAAGTGCTTATTTCCAGTATAATTATAATATAATATAATATTGTTCAGCGTCTGCCAGTGGGTTTAGGGCAACAAGCAACAAATTCTCCTAGAAGGGCTAAGTCGTCATCTGCTGTAAAACTAAGCCTCTTTATAGGTTCTTTAATATTGGAAAGGGTGGAATCCATATTCTGGGCCATATTTATTTAATTAAAACTAATCCCAGCTACTTAAATATCAAATTAACAATTCAAACATAACCTAAAATAAAAGATATCGCCAGATATCGCCGGCCGGCCCCGGTTGTCAAATACCCGCATATGCCCATTTAAGCAATTTTTAAACGTTATTTAGAAATAGCGCTTGGTGTAATTGATCCGCAAATTACGTTTGCGGATCAATTACACCAAGCGTTATTTATAGGCTATACGTTAGGCGGTAACGTTATTAGCGGGTGTTGCGTTAAAAATTGACTCGCGCATATCGTAACTTAATCGTAACCATGATAAGGAGCAGATAAGGTACGCGTAAATACTGCATGACGCTATTCGGTTTTCCGATATCTCTCTAATAACTGTGCCGGTTAGGCGCTGTGCACAATTTTAGAGGCCACAAATGGGCGTGCTATGTGCGCAAACTAGTAACGTAACTAGTGCCCGATTCCGAAAATTGGAACCACGAAAAACAAAAAAGAAAAAACAAAGTTTATAATCTGTATGATCTGTGGTTTAATCTTAATAAAGTGGTAAAGTTAATATTCGGTGGTAGTACGGTACGACCATTGCACGTAGGATATCTCACTCACCGCTACTTTACGATAAGTCGTATTTAGATGAAGGATCCAGGGGAAAGCATAATAAGCGCCAATTTTTTTAATTTTAAGGTTTTACCACATTATAATAGGTCTAATTGATCCCTACAAAATGCATAAACTCAGCGGAGCAATAATCTGTTAAATTCTTTGATATCAAAGAATTCAACAGATTCAAAATACACATACACGGAAAGAACGTAATAACCACCAGCCGTCCAGGAAAATAACTTGATAATTCCATTTAATTGTACTGACGCATAAAATGTTTTAATAAGATTATTTATAAACTTGAACCAAATTTGGACCAGAACAACATTGGGTGCATAAACGGGAGGGGTAATAGGGGTAATGATCCCTCCCAGAAAGAAATTTATAAATAAGATATTAATATTTTATAAATAAAATTGCCATTACGGAAATTAATAAAGCTAATCAAAATAGAAAATTCAGCACAGTCCAAAATTATCTTTTTCCACAGTCACAATATATTTCGGCAAAAATTTAATGTAAATCTAAAATCTAGTACTCTATTTATTACCCACTACCCCTTCCAGACTCAGTCTCTAGATGCGCCACTGGATCAAGATAATTATAAAAAACAAACTGCGAAGATTCTTATTAGATAATGTATTTTAATCGATAAATTAATTTTTAAATTTTTAGGTGTAATTTAAATATTTTTTCTTTTCTATGTTCTGTTTTTTTCTGACTAGTCTTATATCTGTTAATAAACTTGAAGAATGAATAAAGATTATTATTATTAATTGCATCATTTTTTTGTTAGTTGTTGAGTAATAACTTTTTTGTTTCAAGTTGAGTTACAACCTAACCTAACCTAACCTAACCTTCAGATACAAAAAGCAAAATGTGACATCAAATTTGACAATGACAAAATCACATTTTTGCTGGTATTTTAATTGTAGCTTTCTCTGGAGCGTATTAAAAATTTTACAAATTTGAAGGTAGATTTTTGCAAATAACTTTTAAGTCTCGATTCCAAATGAAACGAAATTCTAGAGAAAAGTACAACTTTAAGCCCACACAGAAAGCGTTTTTTGCGTTTTTAGCGTGAAGCGTCTTTTTCGACTAAAACAAACAACAGGATTATATTATAGGAGTGGCCCGACCAAAAGCGTGTAGCGTTCGGGGTGTCTCACAAAAACGCAAATGAAAGCAAATCAATTTGTTTTCTGTAGCGTCTGTAGCGATTTGTAAGATGAGACCCAATAAAGATGAGACGTAATAATACAATAAAAATAAATTAAATAGCATGCATTTTTTTCATTTTAGGCTATTATCTAAAAATATTTTTATAGAGAACATCTACTGTTTAGGAAGATTCTATTAAATTCAAAATTTTGAAAGAAATGTTTGAAAAAGTGTAGTTTGAAATGTTGAAAAAGTAATAAATATATTATATTATGTATATACCGGGTGCGTCTCAAAAGTGGCTCACCCCTATAACTTTTTTATTTTTTCAGATACAAACACGAGATTTGGTATGTTAGTATATAACATAAATTGGGATTGATTGACGTATTCAATTTTTTTCGGTCACTTCCTGTTTCACCGGAAATGACTACAACTTTTGATTTTTAAATGGCACTCTCGGTCAAGAACAGTTAACCTAATAGGACTGCTCATTCAGCCAAAAGTGTCCGCCAGGTGCATGCGAAAACTAGTCGCTTTGTGACGTCATTGTAGCCCTTGTCATGATTATTAGTCCTTATCCGGCAACCAATAATACACACACGTGCATTATTGGTTGCCGAATGCAAAACGTTCATTATTTAGTTTATTTATTTAAACACCTTATATGTATGCAGTATAGAAAATTAACTGTATAAATCGTATTAAATACTCGGATAATGCATTTTTAAGAACAGCAGTTCCCAGCATCACCTTTTGCAAGCATTCTTTTTAGAGTACTTCCATATTTTGCTTTAAAATAATTAATAAACAAAATCGTGGGCACTTAGTAAGCACTTTGTCACAATCCACAATACAAAATGAACGTATTTATACACTCTATAGCTCTAAAAACTTTAAAGACACCTTTTTCGCATTTAAAATTAACAAAATAATTAACTCAAAATTTCTCAGCTGTTATTTTTATATGTTTACCATAGGCAACTAATAATACACACTATCATGACAAGGTCACGAAGGCTTTGACAAGGGCTACAATGACGTCACAACTGTCAGCTGAAGCGCGGGAAGAGGCGAACGTACGTCTTATGAGGATGAGCAATCCTATTAGTTTACCGTTCTTGACTCTCGGTACTTTTTTTACTTTATTTGATAGAAAATAACACTCTGACTAACCAAACCTAACCTAACCTAACCTAACCAAACCAAACTTTTGACATTTTCGCATATGATTTATTTGAAATTATAACTTACGGTTCGTAACGAAAATTTGACTTGAAATACCAAGTGTGTGGTATCAAATTATTCGTAAAAAATGCTTTTTCCAAATATGCTATGAGCTACCCTCGATCCATTTGAAAAAATTCATATATGATTAAAAATACGATTTAGACATATTTTAACCGGCCAGGACAAGACACTAAAAACATTAGACGATCAAATATATTTTTCCAAGGCTCCTTGATTAAGAATTAGTGTTTTTAACATAGCTATGGCACTCTAGATTGAAATTTAGAATACGATTTTTTATTAAGCGAGAATGTCAAAAGTTGACATATGATACGTCATTCTATTCAGAATATCATTTTCTATCGAATAAAGTAAAAATATACCGGGGGTGCCATTTAAAAATCAAAAGTAGTAGTCATTTCCGGTGAAACAGGAAGTGACCAAAAACAATTGAATACGTCAATCAATCCCAATTTACGTCATATACTAACACTAGCGTGTACCAGCGACTTCGTTCGCGTCGAATTAATCATTTGTAATGGTGATGACAAAGCAAAGCAAGAATTTCCATTAACATGCAAACTGGATAAAATTTTCTCATATTTATGTCAGCATGAGAAAAAACAATATGGCGATATTATTATATAACTTGGTAATATTTGAGGGGTAGTTTCATCTCGTTGGAATTTGACTTTCGAAAAATCCGTTTGCCAAAAATAAGCTTTTTACGTCAAGCAGTTTAAGCAGAATCGTGGTTAAGAAATTACCCAACTTTTTGGAACACCCTGTATGATTTTTTAAAAAATTTCAAAATATGTAAAAAAACCCAAATAAATTATGCTTGTCCAAGCGTTTTCCCGAAAGACTAACTGTTTTTAAATAACAAATATTGTAATATCTGAGGGGCGTTTTCACCCTCTTGGAATTTGAGATTCGAGAAACCCCTCCTTATCGAACCTCTACACCCCACAGTCAATCCGTTTGCCAAAAATCAGCTTTAAACGTCAAGCAGTTTAAGCAGAATCGTGATTACTCAATGGTCATATTTTATGAATAACCCTGTATAAATTTATAAAAAATCTTAAAATATGTAAAACAACAAAATAAAATATAGGTGTTTAAGAGTTTTTCCGAAAAACTCAACGGTTTTTAAATAAAAAATATTTTAATATTTGAGGGATAGTTTCACCCCCTTAGAATTCGAGTTTCGAGAAATCGCTTCTTATCGAACCTCTCAAATCAAACCCTAAAGTCAATCTGTTTTCCAA